GTACGTTTGCGTGTTGGTTGCCTCGACCTGGTTGTTTGTGGGCGGGACCAACTGGTTGCTTGACTACCTGGTCGCCTCGACCAAGTGTGACCGTGCCCTGGTACGCACGTCCTTTACTGTACACCAGTGCCCTAGATATCAGACTTTTTACGCTGATTCAGCGTCCATTCAGACTTTTTTTTGGTACCAGGTCTGAACTGTAAGTTTTTTTTTATGTACCTTCTCTGATTTTTCAGAGTATTTGTTTATGTAGTGGCTGAAATTTCAGACAAATTGTAGGGGTGTAGGCTGAGCCTCAGCCTTGTTTCGGGGGTGCACTCTGAAACGGGTACTGCAGGGGTCCGCCAGCCGGCGGCGTGTTTGCACTAAGGGCGTGTTCCTACAGCCCCTTATCAGGCGACCTCTTGTCAGACTTGTGCGGTTCAATGCGATTCAATGCGATCGAATGTTATTATGCGCGTTTCAGTGCGGTGCGACGCGAATCTGACAAGAGGTTCGCCTGATAAGAGGCCGTAGGAACATGCCCTAACACCGTCAATCACGGGCGGGAAACGAAACATTTCCCGAGCGCGGCACCGCACAGACGCGTTGGGCCAGAAATGCTGTAATCTGGCTCAATTCCAGCCAATCGCGGCAGCGCAGCAGGCAGTGTTGGCAAGATTCCTCACATGTGACAGAATGTGAGTCAGATAGTTGAAATGTTTCCAAGTGCAGTATAAGCAACCGGCAGCCTTAAAACTTAGCGTTACACTGAACTTTCAGCCCAAAAAAACTAGTGTTGTCTGAACTTTCAGACTCAAAATCGGGGGCAACTCTGACTCACAGAGTTCAGATGAGGGTGCACTCTGACCCATCAGCGTGTCCTAAAACGAATCTAGGGCCCTGCATGGCATAGAAAAACTCTGGCTTTATTATAAGGAATACCAGCGTAGCACATGTTGTACCCTTGTGGCGTGCTACTAGCAGACTTTGAGGCGCCTCAAAAGTGGTGAACGTTCTACTCCTATCCTATGGCACGGTAGTTGAGGAGCCATTTACAGCTTCTCGCATCACACGGGCCATTTCAGCAGTCAAGTCAGGAGAAGCATCAGAACCTCCAATTTCCGTGTCGATGCCAGAAACAGCCGTGCCCACCTGCACCCCGAACATCTCCTGCTTTGACCTCACCAGCTCGGCCAGCACTAGCAGCATGGAGGGGCGGGAGGCTGCAGGGAGGGCAGTGCAGGAGAGGGCAAGGCGAGCCAAGCGCAGCATCCATTCATCCGGTGCTTCCAAGTGAGGGTCCTTGAATTCTGCCACTGCACCTGAGCCCACCAGCGGGGCCACCTGCCAGGTTGAAAGAATATGGCATATGGCAGGGTTGTGAGTCGACTTGAAACAAGTGCAGCACCAAATCATAGGGTGCTTCCAAACGACAGTCCACCAGTGGAGTCACCTGCCAGGTTGAAAGGATATGGCATATGGCAGAGTTGTGAGTCGACTTAAAACAAGTGCAGCACCAATTCTGCTACTCCACCTGAGTACACCAGTGGGACCACCTGCTGGGTTGAAAGGATACGGCATATGAAACATGCGCCTTGAAGAGAAAATCTGTCAAATTACTAGCACTAGGTGATAGGAAATTGATAGTAACGAGGAAGGTGCAGAAGCATGGGATGGGTGAGTGGTTTGAAATAAGGATGACTGGTTTGAAAGAATATCCATTGAAGAGTGTTTATCATTGATATACTTGCCTTGCTTAATATGGCATATGTCCTGTGGAGAAAAATAAAGAGGATCACATAAACAGGCCTACATGCTTCTGGCCAAAGGTTGTAAGCAACAAACCTATTCAGGGTGCCGTGCATTTGGGCTTTTGAAAATGGTGTTACAGTCTTTTTCCTAGGCTTTGCATACCATTGTGTGCTGTAGCTCACCCATTGTGTGCTGTAGCTCACCCATTGTGTGCTGTAGCTCACCCATTGCGTGCTGTAGCTCACCCATTGCGTGCTGTAACTCACCCATTGTGTGCTGTAGCTCACCCATTGTGTGCTGTAGCTCACCCATTGTGTGCTGTAGCTCACCCATTGTGTGCTGTAGCTCACCCATTGTGTGCTGTAGCTCACCCATTGTGTGCTGTAGCTCACCCATTGTGTGCTGTAGCTCACCCATTGTGTGCTGTAGCTCACCCATTGTGTGCTGTAGCTCACCCATTGCGTGCTGTAGCTCACCCATTGTGTGCTGTAGCTCACCCATTGTGTGCTGTAGCTCACCCATTGTGTGCTGTAGCTCACCCATTGCGTGCTGTAGCTCACCCATTGTGTGCTGTAGCTCACCCATTGTGTGCTGTAGCTCACCCATTGTGTGCTGTGCCTCACCCATTGCGTGCTGTGCCTCACCCATTGCTTGATGTTGATGACGTTTTCCCCCGTTCCAAGAACAGGCTGGCGCCCCGTGATAAGCACAAGCATCACCATGCCAAAACTGCAAACCAGGCAACCAGCAGGGACATCATAAACCAGAAACGGATGACACAAAGCTCACGTTTAGGGCAACCAACACAAAGCTCACGTGTGACACCTACGAGGATAATGCAGTCGTCCTCACTATCACGGTCCTCATTACAAAAACTTGCGTCCCAAGCCCCCAGCTTCAAGAGGCCCAAAGCCTCTTAAAGTCGTTGAATGGTCAGGTATGGCAAATCATGCCTAAAACCATGGACTACTGCTACGATGTACGAGGCAAACAGAAAGCAAAAAAGGAACAGAAAACCCTTTTCCTTTTTTTCAAAGGAGGGGAAAAAAAACAAATCTCACTTATGAGAATTCTCACAAACATCAGAATGTTAGGTGCAGGAGCAGGTGAGAACCATGCGTGGTTACTTCATCCCGATCTGCTTCCCTGTACCAATTTCCCACCTGCCCCTATCATCTTTGTCCTAACCCTCTCACCTGCACACTCTTCTGCTGCACAATCCTCTCACATAAGGGATGTTTTTGGGGATTCTCACAAGTTGCAAGGTGTTTTTCTTTCTTTCAAAAACACCCGACAATCTTCTAACATGTGCCATTGTGCTCACCTGCGGGCATCTGCGGCAGGAGTGGCCTTGTGAGACCTCCAGTATTCAGGGTCCACATAGGCGGGTGTTCCCACCACACCACTTTTGTAAAACTCTCGTTAACATACTTACAAGCGAATGCCAGCTAGAACCACTCTGCACCGCTTTGTACCTGTGCAGATCGCCAGCAGGAGTGACCTTGAGAGACTGCAGTATTCAGGGTCTTCATAGACCGGTGTTCCTACCACTCTTGTACACTTACTTACAGGCGAGTGCTGGCTGGAACCGCTCTGCACCGCCTCGCACCTGTGCACATAGGCAACAGGAGTGGCCTTTGTGACTGCAGTATTCAGGGTCCACATAGTCCGGTTTTCCCATCGCTCTTGTATACTTACCAGCCGAAACCGCTCCGCACCGCTTCGTACCTGTGCACATCCGCAGCAGGAGTGGCCTTGCAAGACCTGCAGTACTCAGGGTCCACATAGACCGGTGTACCCATCACTCGAGTGGCAGGCTCAGATGTGCCTATAGATGTCCCTCCAAGCAGCTTCACAAGCCCAAAGTCCGCAATCTTTGCCTGCCCACCATCAACCACAGCAGCATGACCATGCAACATGAGAAGAGGTGACTTCATGCTGTGCCAACACATCACAAGGGTAGGAAAGCATTTCCTAAGCATCTCCTTCCACGACATTTGAAAACTTTTGCATGCCTGCATTGTTGCGCCAAGGAGAATGCCGCGATGCACGATCTCAAAGTCGTGAAGATACAGCAAGATATAGCCCTTGGCCACTCCATTAAGAACAACCCAAAGCAGGTTCGAACATACCTCCATATTAGCACATACCTCCATTCTTGCGCCAAGGAGAATGTTAGCGGGCTTGATGTCCCGATGCACGATGCCGAAGTCATGCAGATACTGCAACCCCTTGGCCACTCCAATCAGAACGTCCAGCCTTTGTTGCAGCGAAAGAGGGCTGGAGACACCGGGACCGATCCAGCTGGCAAGGTCGCCGTGGGGCATGAGCTCATAGACAAGAAGCTGCTCCATGGTTCGTGTGGACGGGTCAAAGTCGATGCAATAGCCCAACAGACGCACCAGATGGGGATGATGCTTGCTTGCCATCTCTTTCACCTGAGGGGAAAAATGGTGGCAAACAGATGAAAGGAGAATGAAGTATCCAACCGAACCAACCACCGATGTAGGACTCAGCGTAAGAAACCAGCACGAAACGCGTGATACCAACAAAACTCACAACATGGTACATCTAGCTGAAAGTTGTTTGTGTTGGTCATATTTGAAAACCCTGAAAGCCGACTTACCTCTCTCTGGAAGTCGTTTGTAAGCACTCGAGCTCGTTTGACTGCCCAAGCTTGATTGCCATCATGGGGAGACACCCCCTTGTAGACATCCCCAAAGGCGCCACTTCCTATCCTGTTCCCCTCTGCCCACCCTCCTGTGGCCGTGGCCAGCTCTGCCAGAGAGTATTCTCGACACACATATGGCTGTGCTACTTCCATTCCATCTCCACCACAACACCAACACGCTGTCCCCTTCCTGCTGCTGCTGCAGCAGCTACTGCTGGCCCTAAAGCTGCTGCTGATGGTGGTGGTCGTGCTGCTGCTGCTGCAGCCGCTGCAACAGCTGCTGCCGCCCCCTCTGCTGCAGCTGATGGTGGTGGTGCTGCTGCTTCTGCAGCCGCTGCTGTAGATGCTGCAGGTTCATAAGAGAGTGGAAGAGAGAGAAAAAGAGGCAAAGATCAGGTAAGGCGCCTGGAATACCCATCCCACCTATTCTAATAACCTAATGGAGCAAGAAGTATTGCCACCCACTACGGCTAGAGTTTCACCACCAAAACCAAACACCTTGGACTTCGGGTTTTGCTCATGCCCTGCCCACACATAATCTCTCTCTATCTCAAGTCATCAGAGCGAGATTCAACACAATCTTCCGTTTTCGCACCCTCCTCTTCATGAAGGAACTGGCGCTGGCAGCAGTCGTAGAGCGGCTGGTCCATCTCGAGAAACTTGTTGCTCACGTTGATGCTCAGCCCTCTCACTTTCTGGAGAGAGGGGGGGTGTGGGTGTGTGGTAAGGAGGGTGGCGGATGCGAGAGGGAGAGCTGGGGCGGGGCAGGGGAGGAACTGGCGCTGGCAGCGGTTGTAGAGCGACTGGTCCATCTCGAGAAGCTTGCAGCGCATGTTGATGGTCAGCCCTTTCACTGTCTGAACAGAACGGAGGGGAGGAGGGGAGGAGGGAAGGACGGGAGGGGGAGGAATGGTGGGAGGAGGGGAGGAGGGGAGGAGGGGAGGAGAGGAGGAGGGGAGGAGAGGAGGGGAGGAGGGGAGGAGGGGAGGAGGGGAGGAGGGGAGGGGGAGGAATGCGGGGAGGAGAGCATAGAGGGCGAGGAGGGAGAGAGCAGCACAGCATGCATTGAGCAGGGCCTGGTCCATCTCGAGAAACATCTTGCACACGTTGATAGTCCGCCTCTCTTTCACTGCCTTGGCAGAAAGGACGGCGGAGGGGGGATCGGGGGAAGGGAAGGGGGGGACTGCAGTCGGGAAGTGGAGAGGGAGGAGTGGAGGAGAGGAGGGAGAAGATGTGAGGAGATGAGGGAGAAGGAGCGTGGATGAGTGAAGAAAGGGGAGATGCGATGGCAGAGGGTTAAGCTGACAAGGACATGCATGTACTGGCTCAGAATGAGCTTACACGTTAACATCCACATTGGTGGCGATACGAAGTAAGGAAGAGTGCGGGAGACACAGGCTAAGGAAGCCCCAGATGGGATGAGAGTACAAGTGCACAGGAAGGGATTGAGGAGATACAAGGAACCCTTGCTGCAAGAACGACACTGATTCTTAATGTTAAGATATTTCATGCTATTGGAGTCATATTTGCCTGTCGCAAGTCATTGCAACTCAAACCGCGTTAAGCAACACACTGACTCACGCTCGACAAAATCAGCCCACGTCAAGTTGGGGGGGTCGACCTGGGGCGAATTGGCCAAGGTTATGCATAAACCCCAAAAGTTCGAGTCGAGTCATGCACGAGAGTCGGAAGGCATGAGAAATAAGTCCACCCGTCCCGACCCAATCAGCCCACGTCAAGTTGGGGGGGTCGACCCCGGGCGAATTGGCCAAGGTTATTTCCTGAACCGATCCAGCTTATAAGGGGGTGGGTCAGGATTACCCAGGGTTGGGTCGAGTCGACCTGATCTGGTTGTTGTGCTACAGCCATAGGCAGTCCGTGCTACAACCTTAGGCAGTCTGTGCTACAACCATAGGCAGTCTGTGCTACAGCCATAGGCAGTCTGTGCTACAACCATAGCCACAGTACAGAAGCGAACCAGGCACTACACGCGGCTCACTATTCACACCACACCTCGTTCTGGTGGTTTCTGGTGTTGCGCTCGAGTGCAACAAAGATGGGTGGCAGGATGGTGGCGCGGTTCTGAGCCACGAGCGTCAGAGGCAAGGCACCTCTGGCCACACCATACCACATCATACCTCGTTCTGGTGGCTTCTGGCGTTGCGCTCAAGGGCAGGGAAGACGAGCGGCAGGATGGTGGCGCGGTTCTGAGCCACAAGTGTCAAGATGTAGTCGTTGTTCCACAAGAACAATGCGCGCACTGCCACCTGACGGCAGAAAGGAAAAGGGGTTTGGGGCGAAGGGTGGAGGGAGCGCCATGTCGTACAGTCAGCGGCCATCACTAAGGCCAGACGCTAATGTCGCCCCCATAAAAAACAGCAAAAGGAGACAAACCTCGCACACTTATATCTCAACTCTACGTCAACCATCATAGTTGTTTTAAAAAAGTAGTGCATCGGGATTTCAGGGAAATAAAGGCAGGAGCGTTGTAGCTGGAAGTGTGAGGAGCTGAGGCACTGCACGCCAGCAGAGAGCCATGATGCCCATCTGGAACTCGGAAGCTCGCGCAACGCGATGCACCCCACCCCACCCCATCACACTCCCTTGCACCCCCATCACCGTATCACGCCCCTTTGCTCTCTGTCACAACCCGTATCCTCTGCTGGAACAGCAGCGTCACGACCGTCTGAAAACTCGCGTTATTGAGCAAAGACCCATCGCACCCTATTACACCGCAACACACACACCGTACCTGAAATTGGGCAGGAGCGCTGCACCTGGGAAGAGCGGGGAGCTGAGACGGCGCGCAATGTGCTGGAACAGCGGCTTCATCACCACCTGGGACACCTTCCCAAACCGCCTCCCAGTGTTTTGAGACGTCTCAAAACTCAATGTGCTGGAACAGCAGCTTAATGATCACCTGGAACACCTTCCCAAACCGCCTCCCAGTGCCCCACACACACCGTACCTGTAAGTGCGAGGAGGTGAGACAGCGTGCAACCTGCTGGAACAGCGGCGTCATGACCATCTGAAACTTGGACGTCTGCATGTCATGCCACGACACCCCCGCACATCTCCTCACAGCCCCTCACACCCCGCCACCGTATCACACCCCCTCGCACTGTACCACACCCCTACACACTCCGTTCCACCGTACCTGGAAGTGCGGGGAGCTGAGGCAGCGCGCGATCTGCTGGAACAGCGGCATCATGACCATCTGAAACACCTTTCCAAACCGCCTCACACCTCCTCACACTCCTTTCCAGTGCACCACACACACCCGTACCTCAGAGTGTGGGGAGCTGACGCAGCGCGCGATCTGCTGGAACAGCGGCGTCATGACCATCTGAAACTCGGGCACCTGGGTCAGGTTCAAAATCTCCTCCAACTCCTCCAGGAAACGCAGCTCATTCTGGCTGTTAGTTAAGGGCCAGAACTTAAGCAACCCGCGCAGCACCAAATCTGCGAGCTTGGGGTCTTTTTCCACGAACTGAGTGATGCAGTACGACAGCTGCTCGTGATACATCGCCACGCACTTAGGCTTGTGCAGCGGAACCAGTACTCGCTCCAGGGACTGCGTATGCTCCTGTTTGAGAGGCAGCACGAACCCGTTGACAAAGCTTCCTATGAACTCCAGCAACTCCGCAATGCCATTATGACGCTCCGACTCGATAAACTGGTCGAAAATGTTGTTAATCGCCTTGCGGATGAACGGCCGGTGACCCATGATTTTGAAGTAAATGCGGTGTAAAATGCTCTTCAAATAGTCCCGCTCGCGCGGGTCCTCCGAGTCGAACAGGTTCAGCAGCTTTAAGATGAACTTCTGGTCGATGTAACGCTTTAGGAGCCTCTGGTCGGTCTCGTTAGAGACGACATACCTAAGCAGGAATTCGTAGACTATTTGCAGGTGCGACCACGCGGCTTCCAGAATCGGATCCTCTTCCTGGGGGTCCTTAGATTCCGTCCCGGAAATCGCGTTCGCGGACGGCGGTAACGGCCGGAAGAGATTAATCTCCAGCATGCGCGTTATGTCTTCTAATACCGCCTCGTTGAATTTCCCGGTTCCACGACCAACGTAGTCGACTAGCTCGAGCAGCGTTTGCCGCTTAATCTCCTTCTCCTTCACGTTTTTCATGGGGTCGTTAAAATCGAAGAGGTAACTGCAGAGACGAAGCTTCCGGATAAATAGGGCCTGCTTCTCCTGCGCACCCGCGTCTTTCAACAGCGGCAGCGGCTCCGCAAAAGGCGGCAAGCTCGCCTGCGCAATCTCTTCATTCGGGTCGCGACGAGCGGGAGCCGTTGGATTCGCGTCGCCTGGAGAAGGATGCGAGCATTCCGCCTTTCCGGCGTCCGCTTTCCCCCTAGTGGCGATTGCCGCAGCTGCTGCTGCATTGCCTGCATTGTGCGACGCTGCGTCTATCTTACCCTGCTTTTCCCGACTCCTTACAAACGTCCTTTTAATGACTCAAGCATGCTAAGACACTTCCTGCACGTGGAACCCTAACCGTTAACTAATATCGACACGACATTGCTAACGCCGTTTGGTTTCAGTCAGGCAGCAATAGCAATTCATAGGCGAGGAGCTTTCTGGTCATGTTGGAAACCAAATCGCGAGAATAGGTCTACCCCGAACTCGCCAAGCTTCAGACTTCTAAACGGCTGGCTTCCCAAAAGATATGCTGGGAACTGATAAGTACATCTAGCGGCTCGTCCAGCGGTTTTTCCAAGAATAAGACCTCACGCATTAGGCATGTAGGATAGGACTGGGCTGCTATGGTTTATGTGAGGTTCCACGGTTGAGAGTTCGCAGCACACCCAGCCAGCATCATTGAGCACGTTTTCCCGCGCAATCCCTCTTCGCCTGGTTCCATCGCCATCGTTTCGTTGGTTTCACCACATCACTTCTCACCTGTTTCCTTTCGTTCCAGCTAGTAAATGTTCGCGCAACCCCAATTTCCCATCCCAACCAGTAGGGCCAAGGCGATAAACAGTCACGATTGTTACCCAACGGTCACCCCAAAATCCGGTATATCTCGTAAGAACCAACATGGGGTACAGATTTCAGAAACTACAGGATGCGCACCTTACACAATGCTTAATATGTACCAGTGCAGCACATGTAACCTTACGGCGTGCTGATAGAGGACCCTTGGCGTGCCTCAAAAGTGGTGCATGTTCTCCTACTCCTATCCTATGGAATGATAGGTAGTTGAGGGCCACTAACAACCTCTTGCATCGCACGGGCCATCTCAGCACTGAAGTCATATTAGCCATCAAAGCCTCCTATTCCCGTGTCGATGCCAGAAACCTCCGCGCTCATCTGCGCCCCGAAACATTTCCTGCTTTAACTTAACCAGCTCGGCCAGCACTAGGAGCATGGAGGGGCGGGAGGTCCCAGGCAGGGCAGTGCAGGAGAGGGCAAGGCGAGCCAAGCGCAGCACCAAATCATCTGGTGCTTTCAAGTGAGGGTCTTTAAATTTTGCTACTGCTCCTGAGTTCACCAGTGGGGTCACCTGCCAGGTTGAACGGATATGGCATACGGCAAAGTTGTGAGTCGACTCAAAACAAGTGCAGCACCAAATCATCCTGTGATTCCAAATGAGAGGCCTTGAATGCTGCCATTGCTCCTGAGTCCACCAGTGGGGTCACCTGTCAGATGGTAAGGATATGCCATACGAGATATGCCATACGAGATATGCCATACGAAACATGCTCCTCCAGAAAGTTCAGGAGTGTTGCATGAAGAGCAAACATGTCAATAGAATAGTAGCATTGGAGTATAGGTGTGATAACGCAGAAGATATAGAGGCATGGGATGGGTGAGTGGTTTGAAATAAAGGGTGACTGGTAACAAAGAATGTGCAAGGGATGAATGTATAACATTGTTATACTTGCCTTCCTTAGTATGGCATGTGCATTGTGGGAGGAAAGAAGAGAGGATCATATGATCAGGCCTTCATGTTTTTGAAAGCAAGCAAATCTATTCCACGTGGAGTGCACTTGGACTGATGAACATGTGTTAGCCATTGTGCGATGTGCCTCACCCATTGCTTGATGTTGACGTGTTTGCCCTCTATTACCAGCACAACCTTGCGCCCCGTGACAACCACCAGCATCACCATGCCAAAACTGCAAGCCAGGGAATAAAAAAGGAGATAAAATGTGGCAGCTCCAGTAGTTGAATTGAACATTTTCTGTAAAAAAACAACCATCCACACGATTATGGTCCTCTGCACAACCACTTGCGTCCCAAGCCCTTTTCTCTAAGTGGCTGAGCATCTCAGGGCCTTTGAATGGTGGCAAGGCAAGGCATGCCTAGAATGGAAACCATGGACTGCTGCTACTATGTACAGAAAGGAGGCGGCCAAGGCGAAAGGAATGTGAACAAACCTATTGGAGAAGAAAAAACAGAGTTGTCACAAACATCAGATGGTTATTTCGTCCCAATCTTCTCACCTGCACTAATCTTCTCACCTGCCCCAATCTTCTCACCTACACCAATCTTCTCACCTGCACCAATCCATTGACCTGTGCTGTGCCAATCTACTCACCTGTACACATCTGCGGCTGGAGAGGCCTTTTGTGAATCTAAGTATTCAGGGTCCAGATAGCCCAGTGTTCCCACCACTCGAGTGGAAGCCTCAGATGTGGCCATAGATGTCCCTCCAAGCAGCTTCACGAGCCCAAAGTCCGCAACCTTTGCCTGCCCATCATCAGCCACAACACCAGCATAATCATGCAACATGAATCTAGTCTTGAGGCGCCTCACAACCAAACAGTTTTACAAGCCCAAAGTCGGCTATCTTTGCGTGCCCATCATCAAGCATAACAGCAGCATGGACGTGCAACTTAAGATTACGTGACGCAACTCTATGCTCGGCAGCTGTTCAAAACATCGCATGAGAGTTGAAAGAGATGAGCTAGGGTAGGACAACACCTCCTTCCACATGCAACCCCGCTATAGAAAAGGTTGAGCATACCTGCATTTGTTTCTCAAGGAGAATATTGGCCGGCTTGATGTCTCGATGCACAATGTTAAAATCGTGAAGATACTGCAACCCCTTAGCAACTCCAATAAAAATATCAAGCCTTTGGAGCAGCGAAAGAGGGTTGGAAACGCCGGGGCCGATCCAGCTGGCAAGGTCGCCGTTGGGCATGAGCTCATAGACAAGAAGCTGCTCCATTGTTCGTGTGGACGGGTCAAAGTCGATGCAATAGCCCAACAGACGCACGAGATGCGGATGATGCTTGCTTGCCATCCATTTCACCTGAGGGGGGTGAAATGATGGTGAACAGATAAAAGGAGAAGGAACAATCCAGCAAGGGACGTGGTACCAACCAAAACTCACAACATGATACCTCTATCTTGAATTTGTTTGTGCTGTTCTTTTCTTAGAATTCTCAAAACCGTCCTACCTCTCTCTGGAAGTCGTTTGTGACCGCTCGAGCTCGCTTGACTGCCCAAGCTTGATTGCCATCATGAGGAGACACTCCCTTGTAGACAACCCCAAAGCCGCCTTCTCCTATCTTGTTGCCCTCTGCCCACTCTCCTGTGGCCTTGGCCAGTTCTGCCAGGGAGTATTCTCGACAAACATATGGCTGTGCTACTTCCGTCTCTACCACAACGCCACCACACTGCACCCTTCGCGCTGCTTCTGCTGCTGATGGTGATGGTGGTGGTGCTGCTGCTGTAGCCAATGCAGCAGCTGCTGCTGCCCCTTCTGCTACTGCCGATGGTGGCGGTGCTACTGCTGCAGCAGCTGCTGCCGACCCTTCTGCTGCTGCTGATGGTGGTGATGCAACTGCTGCAGCAGCTGCTGCCGACCCTTCTGCTGCTGCTGATGGTGGTGATGCAACTGCTGCAGCAGCTGCTGCCGCCCCTTCTGCTGCTGCTGATGGTGGTGATGCAACTGCTGCAGCAGCTTCTGCCGCCCCTTCTGCTGCTGCTGATGGTGGTGGTGCTACTGCTGCAGCAGCTGCTGCCGCCCCTTCTGCTGCTGCTGATGGTGGTGATGCTACTGCTGCAGCAGCTCCTGCCGCCCCTTCTGCTGTTTCTAGATCCTCCTCACAAGAAGCTTCTGTAAAGGGAGAGGAGGGGATAAGAGAGAGAACGAGACATAGAGCAGAGTAAGGGGCCTGGAATACCCACCACACATACTCTAGTACAGTAAGGACCAGGAAGGACAGCACCCACCCTCCATGGCTTCAGGCGACAAATGTTGCCACACTGGGATCAAAGCCGAAGCGTGGTTTACAAGGAAACGGATTTAATCATTTCTCTAGGTTAGCCGACGGCATTTGCAATCTGAAAGAGGGCGAGCTTGCGACGCGCGAGGAGGAGAATGTGCGGGCGGCGGACACAGGGATCGGCACGGCATGATTAGCGGCACGGCGTGGTTAGCGGCACAGCGGGAAAGAATAATCGCGGACGCGTGGATAAATGCTACGGGAACGAGGGGACTTCGGCACAATGCACTGTCGACAATGTGATTCAATTCTACACCAGACACCGGAATGCACATGCCTGAGATGAGAGCATGTCCATCATGTCAGAACATTCCCGTCCCCTCAAGATAATGCGAGCGACTGCTGCAGCAGGCAGCAGTTACGTCCCCCCAAGTGGCGCTACATCAGCAAGGCCAGTTTGCAGCAAGTCCCAACATGGCCGGCCGGGGTGTTTCAAGTCGGCCCGTTCCGATCGGGTCGGGCCGACCCGAGACTCGAAAATAGGAATTTTTGTCAAGTACGACCTGTCGCAGGCCAGGTCGACCCGACCCGACCTCACCCGTCAGCCGCCCGGATCTACAGTCAATTTGCTCCTATCTGCTCAGATCGGCTGCCGAAACGGAGATATAGTTGCAAAAGGGATATTGGGTGTACCCTCCAACCACAATTTGCGGTTGACTCAAGACCTAACCAACATTATTGGAACCGCAATAATGTTGACAAACCCAACGAATTGAGCCTCACAAATTGTTGGCCAAGCAAACCCACCACTTCTCTCTCTCAACCTATGTATACCTCAGTACATTTGAGCATAATCTCTTCTTCGTACCTCCTTCTCTGAGGAACTGGCGCATGCACTGGTCGTAGAGCTCCTTGTGCCCCTCGAGAAACGTATTGTGCACTTCGATGGCCAAAGTGTTCATCACCTGAGCAGAGAAGAGGAGGGGTGGAGGGAGAGAGAGGGGCGTGGGTGTGGTAGGGGTGAGGGGGGGTTGGGGTGGGACAGAGGAGGAACTGGCGCATGCACTGGTCGTAGAGCTGCGTGTCCCTCTCGAGAAACGTATTGTGCACTTTTGACCCAAGGCGGGTCGACCCGACCCGACCCGCCCCCCCGCCGTCAGGTCGAGTAAAATGGGCCGGGTCGGGTCGACCTGGCCAGTTGCCCATGTCTACGCTCACTGCCCGCACCATACCTTGGTGTCCCGGTCCTTCCAGTCGCGATTGATGTTGCGCATTATGGCAACGAAGATGAGGGGCATGATGGTGGTGTGATTCCGAGCCACGAGCGCCACGATGTGGCCGTTGTTCCACAGGAGTAGTGCGCGCTCCGCCACCTGACGGGGGAGGGGAAGAGGGGACATGCGTATGGCGAATGGGGTATACCATAAGGTGCGCACATGTAGCAGTCGCCACGAAGTGGCCGTTGTTCCACAGGCACATGTAGCGTGCGCTCCACCACCTGACGGGGGAGGAGGGTAGAGTATATATGTGGGGCATGGTGTGTGAGCAACAGACGCAATGGTTCTGCATCACGAGCCCCACGAAGTGGCCGTTGTTCCACAGGCGCAGCGTGCGCTCCGCCACCTGACGGGGGAGGGGAAGGGGAACGGGGCGGAGAAAGGGGGGAGTGGGGGGATGGCGGCGGGGTATGTGATGTGAGACGTGACATATGGGCAACAAACATATTAATTGATTCTGCACCACTGGCGTCACGATGTAATCGCTGTTCCACTGAAACACCCCGCCACCTGTGTGCATGCATTACATACGGGACATGCCACATGGGGCATAACATATCGGGCAGGACATATGGGCCATGCCATATGGGGTATGACATATGGGACATATGAGGCATGACATACGGGGCATGACATATGGACCATGCCATATGGGGCATGACATATGCGGCATCATGACATATGGGACATTTATGAGGCATGACATCCGGGGAATGACATATGGGGAATGGCATATGAGGCATGACATATGGGGAATGGCATATGAGGCATGACATATGAGGCATTACATTTTGAAAATGCTGAAACTCTCCACCGACTTGGATTGCCATACAATACTATGCCAAATATTCACGCACGCATCGAATCTGAATTTAAAGACTCGCAGACTGGGATTTCAGGGGACGAAACAGCGAGAACGTGGACTTGGAAGTGCGAGGAGCTGAGGCACAGCACAGTGCACGGGAAAAGAGCGGCATCATGACCATCATGACCATCATGACCACCTGGAACTAGAAAGCTTGCATGATGTGCCATCCGTTCGCTGAAACAGCAGCGTCACGACCATCAAACATCTCGCGTTCTTTGAGCGCGGATGCATGATGCATGCACCCCCTCACACCTCCTCACAGCCCACCACACCCTCTCACACCCGACAACCGTACCACATCCCCGCGCACCGCATCACACTCGGACACCCCCCGTACTACCGTACCTCTAAGTGCGAGGAGCTGAGGCAGCGTGCGATTTGCTGGAACAGCGGCGTCACGACCATCTCAAACTCCGGCGCCTGAGTCAGCTTCAGAATCTCTTCCAACTCCCCCAAAAACAGCACCTCATTCTGGCTGGTAGTTAAGGGCCAGAACTTAAGCAATCCGTGCAGCACCATATCCGCGAGCTTCGGGTCTTTTTCCACGAACTGGGTGATGCAGTACGACAGCTGCTGGTGGTACATCGACACGCACTCAGGCTTGTGCAGCGGAACCAGCACTCGGTCTAGAAACTGCTTATGTTTCTCCTTAAGCGGCAGCTTGAATCCGTTAATCATATCCCCTAGAATCTCCAGCAGCTCCGCAATGCCGTTATGCCGCTCCGACTCGATAAACTGGTAGATAGTGTTGCCAATCGCTTCTCGGATGAACGGCCGGAGAAACATGAACCTCTTGTAAGTCAGGTGCAGAATAGCCTTCAGATACGCCCGCTCGCGAGGGTCCTCCTCGTCGAACAGGTTCAGCAGCTTTAAGATGAACTGCTGGTCGATGTAGTAACGCTTCGCGACATACGTAAGTAGGTACACATAGATTAGTTGCAGGCGCGGCCACGGGCCGGGTTCCAGATCTTTTTCTAGAATGGGCGTGAAGGCTTTGAAAAGCGCCTCGCTGAATTTCACTTCTACGCGACCAACGTAGTCGACTAGGTCGAGCAGCGCTTGCCGCTTCTGGACGAATAAAGCCTGCTGTTCCTGCGATCCCAGCGGCACCGCGTTAGGTGACGCGTTTGCTCCCTTCGATGCGACCATATCCGAGGCCGTCCGAGCAATGTCATTCGCTGAGGCCATGGCCGAAACCAAAAAATAACCGCGAGGTTAGTTTTACCCTGAACTCGCCAAGCTTCGGGCTCCTAGATGGATGCTCTAACAAGAGTTTTAGTGAACGCAGAAAAGCATCCAACTTCTCGGCTACAAATAACGACTGCGCATCACGATATCCTGAATCAACCGCCATGGATGATCACTCGCACGTTTGCAGGGTTGCAAGATAATGGAGATGGGAAACTTCCTAGATAGTAGCACGGTCACCACTAACCACTAGTGCAGTGGCGTGGTATCTCTGCGTGCGAACCACGCCAGACTGGGGAGAACCAGGCCTGCCCTGGACCTTGTGACGTGCCATGTGGTTTGCGGTTGAATGAACCGTTCAGTTCATCCGTCGTGGTGCAAGAGCATATAAAACGGTGCATAACGGTTCTTAATCTCCACCGTTTTGCACGTGACGCAACCCAACACGTGCAGAACGAGCTGAAACGTCCGCGCTACGCCTTCATTTTTCCTTCACTCCCCATCACCTCTCGCCCGATGCTTGTTCAAGTCAAGCAAACTAGTTTTCGCGCAACTCCAATTTTCCATCTTGAACAGTACAGTCAATTTAAGTGTATTGCGTTTGTAATTTATAATCAGGCAATTCTTGCTACTTGATCGTAAGGGAAGGCCACTTACAATATATCTATACAGGGGACAGAAATTTTTTTTTTTTAACATATAGACCAATTTAGACCAGGATAACACTGCTGCTGATGCACGCCTCACATAATGCTGAACAGCACATTGCTTTGGTGTTACATAAAACCCCCCTATTCATAAAACCCCTGACCAGCAGCAAATTGATTACTGCCAGCTCCTTCTGGAAGAAGCAGACCTATTGCGTATGCAGGCTCATTTGCCGTCTTGCTTGCTGTATTGCTCTCTTACTTGCTGTCTTTCTTGTAGCCTCACTACTCCACCCATAGAGACCAATGCACATGCCACCACATCAGCTGGCACTGGAGCCCACCACCGGCTCAGCCAATTCCGCACTCTTCTCCTTCCCTTTCTTCCCTTGCTGCTTCTTCCCCCCTGCAGCATTCCCCTTCCCCTTTCCCTTCCCCCCCTTGGCGCCCTTACCACCAGCCTGCGCCCCTGCCTCTGCGCCTCCTCCTCCTGCTCTATCCTTGCGAACACAGGCGCCGGCTCCGCTGTTTGCTGCCCTGCCTTCAGCCCACCAGGTCCAGATGGGGGCGCAAGGAGGGGCGTGGAGAGAGTTTAGCAGAAGGTAGATGGGAGAGCAGCGAAGAGCATGTTGTGATGAGCGGGGCTGCACCGCATCACACCACACTGCACCACAGCCCATCACAGCTGCACGTCGTATTAGAGTGCCTTTCATTCAAGCACTCCCAAGGCACGCTTTGATATACTATTGAGCGGTTGCGTAGTGGTGTTGGCTGAAAAGGAACGTCTCTACAAACTAATCAGTCTAGCATGTACATGATGCAGATTTACCCCTCAGACAGATGGTTTATGCCGCTATCTCCTGTGTATAACACCCTAGGGCGCTTTGAAAAAACAAACCCATGAGGTGGGTGTTATTGCTGCCCAATATTTTGTACCCTCTCCAAGAAGTTTCATTGCGCCGCGCTGCGCACCCATGCATCTCCCAAAATGCGGTATTGGTTTGGTATCTCTCGCAAGCTGATTGTCGCATGGCTGGGCACCCCACTCAGCCTCCCTCTCTCCCATGCACTAAACACATGGCATAGAAAAACTCTGGCTTTATTATAAGGAATACCAGCGTAGCACATGTTGTACCCTTGTGGCGTGCTACTAGCAGACTTTGAGGCGCCTAAAAAATGGTGCACGTTCTACTCCTATCTTATGGCACGGTAGTTGAGGAGCCATTTACAGCTTCTCGCATCACACGGGCCATTTCAGCAGTCAAGTCAGGTGAAGCATCAGAACCTCCAATTTCCGTGTCGATGCCAGAAACAGCCGTGCCCACCCGCAACCCCAACATCTCCTGCTTTAACCTCACCAGCTCAGCCAGCACTAACAGCATGGAAGGGCGGGAGGCTGCAGGGAGGGAAGTGCAGGAGAGGGCAAGGCGAGCCAAGCGCAGCACCACATCATCCGGTGCTTCCAAGTGAGGGTCCTTGAATTCTGCCACTGCTCCTGAGCCCACCAGTGGGGCCACCTGCCAGGTTGCCACAAAGGATTGTGAGTTGAGTCGAATCAAAACAAGCGCAACACCAAATCATCCGGTGCTTCCAAGTGAGGGACCTTGAGTTCTGCCACTGCTCCTGACTCCACTAGTGGAGCCACCTGGCAGGTTGAAAGGATATGGCATATGGCAGTAGTGAGTCGACTTGAAACAAGTGCAGCACCAATTCATAGGGTGCTTCCAAACGAGGGTCCTTGAATTCTGCTACTGCACCTGCGTGCTGTGCCTCACCCATTGCGTGCTGTAGCTCACCCATTGTGTGCTGTGCCTCACCCATTGCATGCTGTGCCTCACCCATTGCTTGATGTTGATGACGTTTTCCCCCGTTCCAAGAGCAGGCTCGCGCCCCGTGATAAGCACCAGCATCACCACGCCAAAACTGCAAATCAGGCAACCAGTAAGGACATCATGTATGTAACGACACTCTCGTGTGACACCTCTAGCAGTTGTTAAGGGAAAAATACAATCATCCTCACTATTATGGATCTCTTCACAACCACTTGCCAACCATGGACCGGTACATGTACGAAGCAAGAAAAGGGTGGAAAACATAATGACAAACATCAGAGCAGGCGAAAAAAAACCGGGGTTCTCACAAACCTTAAAAACCTCTGCCTCATCGCATGCTTGTCGGATGATTATTTCGTCCCAATCTGCCAACTTGTACCAATCTTCTGACCTGCACTAATCTTCTGACCGCAACGATCGTCTTACGCAAGGGGAGTTTTTGAGAAGTCTCAATACCCAGAAACACCCGACAATCTTCTAACCTGCTGTGCCAAAGAGCACACCTGTGCACATTGGCAGCAGGAGTGGCTTTGTGAGACCTGCAGCATTCAGAGTCCACATAGGCCGGCAATTCCATCACCTCACTCTTGTAAATGCACTTACAGGCAAATGCCAGCTAGAACCGCTCTGCATCGCTTCGTACCTGTGCACATCGGCAGTAGGATAGGCCTTGTGAGACCTGCAGTACTCAGGGTCCACATAGACTGGCGTTCCCATCACACCATTGTAAACTGAAACCGCTCTGCACCGCTTCGTACCTGTGCACATCGGCAGTAGGATAGGCCTTGCGAGACCTGCAGTACTCAGGGTCCACATAGACCGGTGTTCCCATCACTCGCGTGGCTTGCTCTGAAGTGCTTATTGTTGTCCCTCCAAGCAGCTTCACAAGGCCAAAGTCCGCAACCTTTGCCTGCCCATCGTCAACCACAGCAACATCATCATGCAACATGAGAAAAGGTGACTCCATGGAGTGCCAACACATCACATGATAGTTAAAAAGGATGAACAAGGGGAGGAAAGCATTTCCTAAGCATCCCCTTCCCCATGCAACCTGGCATAAGAACCTAAGCATGCCTGCATTCTTGCGCCAAGGAGAATGCCGCGACGAACAATGTAAAAGCCGTGAAGATACTGCAACCCCTTGGCCATTACAATAAGAACGAGCAACCCAAAGCAGGTTTGGACATACCTCCATTTTTGCGCCAAGGAGAATGTTAGCGGGTTTGATGTCCCGATGCACGATGCCAAAGTCATGCAGATACTGCAACCCCTTGGCCACTCCAATCAGAATATCAATCCTTTGTTTTAGCGAGAGAGAATTGGAGACACGGGGGCCGATCCAGCCGTCAAGATCGCCGTTGGGCATGAGCTCATAGACAAGAAGCTGCTCCATGGTTCGTGTGGACGGGTCAAAGTCGATGCAGTAGCCCAACAGACGCACGAGATGCGGATGGCTCTTGCTTGCCATCTCTTTCACCTAAGGGTAAAAATGATACACACGCACGCACGCACGCACGCACGCACGCACGCACGCACGCACGCACGCACGCACGCACGCACGCACGCACGCACGCACGCACGCACGCACGCACGCACGCACGCACGCACGCACGCACGCACGCACGCACGCACGCACACACACACACACACAGTGTCAGTCAATGTTGGACCAATCTCTATAACAACCAATGATGGATTTGGCACAAGAAACGGGGTAGCAACAAGAACTCACAACATGGTACCTCTGTCTGAAAGTTGTTAGTCAGCATTTGAGCTATTTTTGACAATGCTAAGAAAATCTGAGGGACAAAAAAACAAAACAAAACAAAACAAAGAACAAAACACACACACACACACGCACGCACGCACGCACGCACACACACACACACACACACACACGCACACACACACACCCACCCACCCACCCACAAACATGATACCTCTGTCTGGAAGTCATTTGTGAGCAGTCGAGCTCGCTTGACTGCCCAAGCTTGATTGCCATCATGGGGAGACACTCCCTTGTAGACATCCCCAAAGGCTCCCCTTCCTATTCTGTTCCCCTCTGCCCACTCTCCTGTAGCCTTGGTTAGCTCTGCCAGAGAGTATTCTCGACACACATATGGCCGTTCTACTTCCATTTCTACTGCAGGACCAGCATACTGCCCTCGTCGTCCTGCTGCTGCTGGTGCTTCCGCCCCTTCTGCAGCTGAATTTTCCCCCTCAAAGTGAGCTTCTGCAAAGGAATATGAGAGAGGGGAAGAGAGAGAAAAGGAGACACAGAGCAGGTGAGGAACCTGGAACACCCACCACAACTATTACAGTACGCAAAGGGGCCTGGACAAATGTTGCCGCATTGGGATCGTTTGCTGCATTGGGATCATTTGCCACATTACGATCATGTTGCCACAATGGGATAATGTTGCAACATTGTGATAATTTGCCACATTGGGATCATTAACCACATTGGGATCATTTGCCACATTGGGATCATTAACCACATTGGGATCATTTGCCACATTGGGATCATTTGCCACATCGGGATCAAAGCTGGATGCGTGGTCTACAAGGAGACGATCCATTCATCTCTGTAACAAACTAGCAAACCAACTCACCGACCTTGGCTCTGCCACCCTGACTCCAAACCAAAGCCGAGCCGATGTGAGTTATGAGTTCACTCAGAACCCATCTGTGCCAAACCAGTTCACTGACCTTGTGACTCTGCCACCCAAACTCCAAACCAAAGGCGTGTGGCTGTGCAATGTCACAGTGAAGGGCCTGACACTCGAGCACAATTCCCTCGCAAGCAGGAAAACTGTCTTGTCAAGGAGTCTTTGCCATGGCGGTGGAAATGCACGGCTACCAAGGACCATATTCAGCAGCCCTGCCTACCCGGATGGCTGGTGTGCCGAGATCCGCCCTCTGCGAGCTCCTTGCAGCTGCTGCCGAGCCCCAACCTCTGCCAGTCCAGAAGCATCCCCACATGGCACTGCTCATGCCAAATGCATCCCCACATGGCACTGCTCCTGCCAAATGCATCCCCACATGGCACTGCTCATGCCAAATGCATCCCCACATGGCACTGCTCATGCCAAATGCATCCCCACATGGCACTGCTCCTGCCAAATGCATCCTCACATGGCACTGCTCATGCCAAATGCATCCCCACATGGCACTGCTCATGCCAAATGCATCCCCACATGGCACTGCTCATGCCAAATGCATCCCCACATGGCACTGCTCCTGCCAAATGCATCCCCACATGGCACTGCTCATGCCAAATGCATCCCCACATGGCACTGCTCATGCCAAATGCATCCCCACATGGCACTGCTCCTGCCAAATGCATCCCCACATGGCACTGCTCATGCCAAATGCATCCCCACATGGCACTGCTCATGCCAAATGCATCCCCACATGGCACTGCTCATGCCAAATGCATCCCCACATGGCACTGCTCATGCCAAATGCATCCCCACATGGCACTGCTCATGCCAAATGCATCCCCACATGGCACTGCTCCTGCCAAATGCATCCCCACATGGCACTGCTCATGCCAAATGCATCCCCACATGGCACTGCTCCTGCCAAATGCATCCCCACATGGCACTGCTCATGCCAAATGCATCCCCACATGGCACTGCTCATGCCAAATGCATCCCCACATGGCACTGCTCCTGCCAAATGCATCCCCACATGGCACTGCTCATGCCAAATGCATCCCCACATGGCACTGCTCATGCCAAATGCATCCCCACATGGCACTGCTCCTGCCAAATGCATCCTCACATGGCAGGGGCTCACCTCCTCCAGGCTTTGACTCCGCCCTCTCCACCACCCATCTCCTCCAGTCTTTCACCCGGCCGCCGCAGACCTCACCCACTTGCCTGAACGGCGACGCATCCTCAAAAACTGCCCTCTTCCGTCGCCGTATAGCAGCAGCAGTGGCTGGTCAAGCACCAACTATTGGTCGCTATTGGTCAAGGGCCAACTTCAACGCCTGACTTGTTTTGCTCAAGGGGCCGACACAACCCAGCCAGACAGACCTACGCTCCAGCGAGCGCCGGCTGTGGCGGACCTCACTGCTGGGATGCGAGATTGGTGGAGAAGGGCCATGACTGCAAATCCCCTCCCCTCTCTGACCGTGTTTTGAGTCGACTCAAAACGTGACTGCAAATCCCCTCCCCTCTCTGGCCGTGTTTTGAGTCGACTCAAAACGTGACTGCAAATCCCCTCCCCTCTCTGGCCGTGTTTTGAGTCGACTCAAAACGTGACTGCAAATCCCCTCCCCTCTCTGGCCGTGTTTTGAGTCGACTCAAAACGTGACTGCAAATCCCCTCCCCTCTCTGGCCGTGTTTTGAGTCGACTCAAAACGTGACTGCAAATCCCCTCCCCTCTCTGGCCGTGTTTTGAGTCGACTCAAAACGTGACTGCAAATCCCCTCCCCTCTCTGGCCGTGTTTTGAGTCGACTCAAAACGTGACTGCAAATCCCCTCCCCTCTCTGGCCGTGTTTTGAGTCGACTCAAAACGTGACTGCAAATCCCCTCCCCTCTCTGGCCGTGTTTTGAGTCGACTCAAAACGTGACTGCAAATCCCCTCCCCTCTCTGGCCGTGTTTTGAGTCGACTCAAAACATGACTGCAAATCCCCTCCCCTCTCTGGCCGTGTTTTGAGTCGACTCAAAACGTGACTGCAAATCCCCTCCCCTCTCTGGCCGTGTTTTGAGTCGACTCAAAACGTGACTGCAAATCCCCTCCCCTCTCTGGCCGTGTTTTGAGTCGACTCAAAACGTGACTGCAAATCCCCTCCCCTCTCTGGCCGTGTTTTGAGTCAACTCAAAACGTGACTGCAAATCGCCTCCCCTCTCTGGCCGTGTTTTGAGTCGACTCAAAACGTGACTGCAAATCCCCTCCCCTCTCTGGCCGTGTTTTGAGTCGACTCAAAACGTGACTGCAAATCCCCTCCCCTCTCTGGCCGTGTTTTGAGTCGACTCAAAACGTGACTGCAAATCCCCTCCCCTCTCTGGCCGTGTTTTGAGTCGACTCAAAACGTGACTGCAAATCCCCTCCCCTCTCTGGCCGTGTTTTGAGTCGACTCAAAACGTGACTGCAAATCCCCTCCCCTCTCTGGCCGTGTTTTGAGTCGACTCAAAACGTGACTGCAAATCCCCTCCCCTCTCTGGCCGTGTTTTGAGTCGACTCAAAACGTGACTGCAAATCCCCTCCCCTCTCTGGCCGTGTTTTGAGTCGACTCAAAACGTGACTGCAAATCCCCTCCCCTCTCTGGCCGTGTTTTGAGTCGACTCAAAACGTGACTGCAAATCCCCTCCCCTCTCTGGCCGTGTTTTGAGTCGACTCAAAACATGACTGCAAATCCCCTCCCCTCTCTGGCCGTGTTTTGAGTCGACTCAAAACGTGACTGCAAATCCCCTCCCCTCTCTGGCCGTGTTTTGAGTCGACTCAAAACGTGACTGCAAATCCCCTCCCCTCTCTGGCCGTGTTTTGAGTCGACTCAAAACGTGACTGCAAATCCCCTCCCCTCTCTGGCCGTGTTTTGAGTCAACTCAAAACGTGACTGCAAATCGCCTCCCCTCTCTGGCCGTGTTTTGAGTCGACTCAAAACGTGACTGCAAATCCCCTCCCCTCTCTGGCCGTGTTTTGAGTCGACTCAAAACTGAAAGAAACTAGGAGCTATGGAAACTTGAGGAAGAATTGTTAGCATTAGCTCAAGAGAGCACAAGGATATACAAGGAAGAGAAGGTTGGAGAAGAACACCAAACCTAGCACATAAGACACCAAGACCAAGTAGGCTAGTGGGAGGAAGGACCATCCAACCAACCCTAGTGGGATGGTGGCCAACCAACCAAAGTTGGTTGCCCCACTTGGCCAACCAGGTTGGAGCCAAGTCTAAGCTAGGATATTTGGGTTCACCCCAATTAGGGTGTCTACCCGCAGTACACCCAAAACTAGGGCATGAACCAACCCAACTGTACACCACTCTTGGTGTACACAAGTGTTCGCATGCTATAATATATAGATTCAAACACAACCCCTTAGCATGCGAACACATGAAGAGAACAACCCCTGAATCAAGGGGCGCCCGGGCGAGCAAGGCCAATGAGACGGAGGAAAGCAGAGTGCGCAGGGCGAAGGAGGGCCTTGGTGAAGATGTCGGCCAAGTTGGCCTCCGCCGCAATCTTCCGAACTGAAATGAGGCCTTGCTGGACGAGCTCGCGGATGAAGAAGTAGCGGAGCTCGATGTGCTTGGAGCGGGCGTGATAGACGGGATCTTGAGTGAGGTGGATGGTGCTGGCGTTGTCACACCAGAGAGTGGGGCACGGCTGGGGGGCGCCAAGTTCGGCAAGAAGAAAACAGAGCCAGCGTGACTCCTGGGCGGCCATGGTGCCAGCGTAGAGCTCGGCCTCGCAGGTGGAGAGAGAAATGGCAGAGGAGCGGGTGGAGCGCCAGCTGATAAGGCCGCTACCAAGTGTGAAACCGTAGCCCTGAGAGGAGCGGCGGTCGGGCTGCGAGTCAGCCCATGAGGAATCACTGAAGCCCGAAAGGAGAGGAGGGGAGGGGCCGCCAAGGGTGAGGACATGGTCCTTGGTCCCACGAAGGTAGCGGAGGACCCGCTTAGCAGCCTTCCAATGTTCCTCAGTGTGACGACCGGTGCCAACAAAGCGTGCGAGCACGCTAATGGGGTAGGCGAGGTCGGGGCGGGTGCACATCATTGCGTACATCAGCGACCCAACGAGCTCGGCATAGGGGTGAGGGGAGGTGGAGGGAGAAGTGGGCGGAGCGAGCTGGTGGCCAAAAGGGAGGGGGGTGGACACGGGCTTGGCCTGCGCCATCTCGAACTTCTCCAAGACCTGGCCGATGTAGTGGGACTGGGAGAGGGTGATGGTGCGAGCAGGGCGGTCTCGCGTGATGGTCATGCCTAGGTAGTGCGTGAGGTCGCCCAGGTCCTTGCATTTGAGACGCTGCTGCAGTGACATCTTCATCTGCTCCATGTCAGCCTTGGAGTCAGAAAGGAGAATCATGTCGTCCACATACACCAGAATGAAAAAGCGGCGAGGGGAGGAGCGAATGAAGAGGCTGGCATCGGAGTGGGATGCAGAGAAGCCGAGGGACCCCAGAGTGGCAGACAGCTTCGCGTGCCACTCCCTTGGCGCCTGCTTCAAGCCATAGACAGGGCGACGCAGCTGCCAGACGGTGTTCTCAGGAAAGGCAGCATGGA